CCCCTCGCCCTGGGACGCTCGGCGGCCTTCGCGGAGGGCGGACCCCCGCCCCCATCATCCGCAGCCCCCTGCCCGCCCGGCGGGGCCTGAACTGGGCTCTCCGGAGGGGCAGGACTCGGGACCCATCGCTGCTAGCCCGGAGCCCCCCTCCCGGTAGGGTGGGGCGCGACCCTATCATCCTCGGGGGCCCCCTCCCATCCCATCCCCAGGGCCCTCTTCGTATGGGGGGGACCAGAGCCCCCCGTCCCCCAGCACCATGCTAGTTCAGGAAGATGGGGGCTGTAGTCCAGGAAGTGGGGGAGCTGGGTTAAGTGGGGGGAGCGGCTTTGTCGACCCTTCCCCCTCCCCCCCGTCTATCCCTGCTTCCTGCTGCTTTGGCAATCTGGCCTTCCTCTTCCTCTTCCTCTCCTTTAAAGGACCCCCCCATACACACACACACCCTGGGAGCATCTCCTGTGTGCGGCTTAACCCCCACACACACCCAGGCCCCTCCTGGGATGGGCTGAGCCGCTTAGATCTGCCGCTCGCAGATGCCCCCCATCCACCCCCCGCCCCGAGCGCCTTACTCTCGCCACAGACGGACCTCTGCCTTGGCACGGACGTGCTCCCCGCTGGCCCTCCTTCCTGCTCGTGGGCCGGGGGAGCCCAGCCTTTTTCCTTGTTGCTCGTCTCCCAGCAACGGCGTTCCGGAGCAGAGGCCGGTGGAACCCGGGGGCTCTGCTGGGCTCTGGCTGCTGGCCGGGTCCCACTCCATCTTCCGTCCGGCTTGGGTGAGCTGGTGGCCCTCAGCTCGTGGGGCACGGTGGAAGCCTCCGCCCGATTCACCCCCTTGCCTAACCGGCCTGCCTCCCCCCCCCTCTTTTTCTCCTCTGCCGATCTTAATGCCCTCCCTGGCTTCTCTGCAGGGAGGTTTTCAAAGCAAAGCATCGCCAGACGGGCAAAAAAGTGGCGCTGAAGAAAGTGTTGATGGAGAATGAAAAAGAAGGGGTAAGTGTGTCCGGGTTTGCCCCACGCATCTAAGCAGGTGATCAGGGAGACTGCGGAGGGGAGAGGTAAGATCTGGGGTGCATCTTCTGAGGAGGACAGGCAGTAAACTTAAGGGCAGATGCTTTCAGGAAGCTTAAAAATCAAGCCTAAAACTCCGATTGGGGCTCTGTGCCGCTCAGCAGATCTTATCCTCTTCCATTTTGTCGAGCCCCCCCCCCCCAACCTGCCTAAATCAGCCACCATTTTGTGATACCGTGATGGACTGTTTATTGAGCATTTAATTTATGGGAAAGGATATGGGTTAGCTTGATGCATGAACTTAGCTCATTTACAGTTACACACCAGGCTTTGGAAAATGGGTAAACCTGGTCAGTTGACGTTCCGTCTCAGAATGCAAAACTGTTTTTCTTTACAGTCCTTAAGGATCAAGCTGACTGTATGTGCTTGTAGTGGCACCCGTTTAATTTCTCCTCTGAGTGGGCAAATCAACTGGAATTTAGGGGGACTCATCATTATGTTTTCGGGGATCTTAGGCAGAGCAGAAATAAAATGTATTCAATTTTAAATAGTCACCAAATTGGAAGGGCTCAGTGTAAAACTCTAGCTAAGGAATTCCACCTTGCTGCTTTGTGTGGATATGGACCGTTTTTAATGCTTTTGTTCTGTCTAGTTTCCAATCACAGCTTTACGGGAGATTAAAATCCTGCAGTTGCTCAAGCATGAAAATGTGGTCAATCTCATTGAAATTTGCCGGACTAAAGGTAATTGTTAAACTCCTGGGCTTAATTTCATCTGCTAAAACAATTAAGGTAAAATGTCAATTTAATAGATTGTTCCCTGGGAAGGACTCTACCTTCCCAATGAAGGGCTGTTAAATCTGAATTGGATGTAATTGGCGTCATGGTGTCAATTTCTGTCATTTCTGTAATTACCTAATGGATGTGAAGTACAAGTGGCTAGGGAATTTGACATTGTTTGCCCAAATGATGCAGATTGATGTGAATGGTATAAATGAAATCAGTTGCCAAAGAGTTTTGTCCCTTCTTGCTGGGGGAAACTAAAATGTTGTCTATTGCATCCAGTTGAACGGGGATATAAAACTCAGGGTTAGTATAATCTGTTGGGTGGGAGGAACCCCAGAAGATAGCTGAATGCGTATGAAGTGAAGGGAACGGCAGATAAAATTGGAGGTGTTGGTTTTCTTTCATCTCTTTAGCCTCTCCCTACAATCGCTGCAAGGGCAGCATTTATCTGGTCTTTGATTTCTGTGAACATGACCTGGCAGGCCTGCTCAGCAACGCCCACGTCAAGTTCACCCTCTCGGAGATCAAGAAAGTAATGCAGATGCTCTTGAACGGCCTCTATTACATTCACCGGAATAAGGTGAGGGGCCCCTTTGGGTTCCTGAGACCTGGGAGATCTGGGCAGGTCTTCCCTTAAAAAAAAAACAAAAAAAACTGTCCGGCTTTTGCTTCCAGATCCTGCACAGAGATATGAAAGCCGCCAACGTGCTCATCACACGGGACGGCGTCTTGAAGTTGGCCGATTTTGGCTTGGCCCGAGCTTTTAGCCTGGCCAAAAACAGCCAGCCGAACCGCTACACGAACCGGGTGGTCACTCTGTGGTACCGTCCTCCAGAGCTGCTTCTGGGTAAGAAGGAGCGATCGTGTTGGAAGTCGTTGCGTGTTCAAAATGGCCTTTCTCTTCGGATTGTGGACATATATCTTCTGGAGCTTTGTATGGGACTTCAGTTTCCATATGACTGTGCTGGCCCATGAGTTACGGGCGTTGGCTTCAACCAAGCCATGGCCCGTACCTTAAGATCCCAAGATCTTCTCAAGGGTCCACCGTTAAAAACAAATGTAGCAGGCATGCAAACAGGGTCTTCTCAGTGGTGTCCTCAGATCTTTAGAACTTAAGAACTGCTTCTCCTAAACCACCCTTTGAAGTGATTCTTGGAAGCCTTCTGTGTCCAGCCTTCTTTGGTCCTGTGGCTTATCTAGAAGAGTTTCATAAAACTTACTGATTTAGGGTGTCTCGTAACTGAGTAAATCTGGTTAGTGCTGCTGCTGTTTAATAACTTGCACCTTAAACCACAAATCAGGGTTTCAGAAGCTGATATAGCAATGTCGCTGTACGTTAAGGCCATGAGGATGATGGTCTTAAGCTCCCTAGAGTTTAAGGTTTAACAGTAGCATCTTAAATGGTCAGATTGGATCGGTTTTCTGGACCAAATGCGTATTCTGGTCTTATCCAAACTCCATGAATTGAAGTTGGATTTCGGTTGTGGGTTGTGTTGTGCATAACATCCATGCACACTTGTTCCTATACTGTCAGCTGAACGGGGAAATGAAACGTCAACCCTGATGCCAAGGGTTGTTTTCCAAAGTAGCTGACTCCCGTTTAAGAAGATTAACTCGAAGTTCATCTGTTTAGGAGAACGAGATTATGGGCCACCCATCGATCTTTGGGGCGCGGGCTGCATCATGGCGGAGATGTGGACTCGGAGCCCCATCATGCAGGGGAACACAGAGCAGCACCAGCTCACCCTGATCAGCCAGCTCTGTGGGTCCATCACCCCGGAGGTGAGAACCGATGGGCTACGTAGTTCTGTTTCTCCAGCTGGATTTAGGAAGAGATGGGGGCGCCCTTCTGCTGGTTGCTCTTGATTCAGATTCTCTCTCTTTTTTTTTCCAGGTCTGGCCCAACGTGGATAAATATGAGCTCTATCAGAAGTTGGAACTCCCCAAAGGGCAGAAGCGCAAAGTGAAAGAGAGGCTGAAGGCCTACGTCAAAGATCCGTACGCCTTGGATCTCATCGACAAGCTGCTGGTTCTGGATCCAGCCCAGAGGATAGACAGCGACGACGCCCTGAACCACGACTTCTTCTGGTCGGACCCCATGCCTTCCGATCTCAAGAACATGCTCTCCACCCATAACCAGTCCATGTTCGAGTACTTGGCTCCGCCCAGGAGGAGGGGCGGGCACATGCCCCAGCAGCCGGCCAATCAGGGCAGGAACCCAGCTGCGACCAATCAGACCGAGTTCGACAGGGTCTTCTGAACGACGCGGGTCAAGGAGATGGATATTTTAATGTACGGCGGTTTCTTAGATTTCTTCTTTTTTTTTGTCATGGAACAATGGAATAGTTGAATTCGGATGATTTTCGGGTCTCCTGAGGAGGAAAGCGGGGGCCCGGTTTGGCTGACGCCAGGCAAGCCAATACGCAGACTGTCTGAGGACCTCCGTGGAACTTGTGGCGGTTGCCCAGAGCGCATCGTTGGCCTTTCTGAAAGGCGTTCTGGCTTCCTGAAATGCTTTGTTCAGCTCCTGCTCTTGGAGAGCTTTCTGGACGCAGCGTGGCTGGCAGCAGCCGGTGGCTGTAAGTTGAACCCTTTGCTGCAGGGAGACAAGGTGTGGCGGAGCAAGGGAGGGGTAAGCGGTCTGCACGTGGGCAAGAACCCCGATTCTGGGTCCCCGGTCTTCTGGCCACGTCCTCCCTCTGCCACAGATTTGGATGGGCAGACGGGTGACCCCCGATGTGCTCCCAGCGTTTGTCTTCCTTGGACTGTTGCTGCATGGGGACCGCCTCTTCTTCTACCCCACCATTTTATTTTGCAACTTTTTTTAAAAAATCCTGCTTCCCAGGGTAGTAAAATCTGACATTCCGAGGTGTTTTTCCTACCCTTTTAGCTTAGCTCTGGCTGAGTACATTGCAGGAGTTAAGTAATTAAAAAAGAAGACGAGCAGCACTGAAAGATTTGCTTGCTTCTCTCCTTCCCCGTTTCGAGTTCCTGACTCTGGGCGGGAGAACTCTCCAGACTGAATCTCATCATGTTTGCTTGTTTTCTTTGCATCGTGCTGTGACGGATCTTCCCAAAAGTCATTAAATTTAATGAACACATTCATGACCTGCTTTGGTGGACTGCAGCCGCGTTCTTAAATGCACGAAGCGCTGAGTTGGTGCATACGGATCATTTAAAGTGAATTAGCATGGGAGGGAGGAGAAGTAATGAACGAAGCTGCAGGAAATGCAAAAAAAAAAGATAAATTAAAGTTGTGGAAAACGGTTACGCGAGTGGCTGTTGTCTGTTGTAGCAAAAATCCGCCATCCAGAGGCACGCCGGGCCAATGATTAACTACTTAGCTCTTGCTAATTATGGCCCTTTCGTGGGATGTGTTCAGTGTTGTGTGATTTATTCACAAAGCTTGCCGAACACACACACACACACACACACACACACCCTCTTTTCTTTCTCAAGCGTGGGGTGTGGGAGGGCATCTGTTATTTGGGTTTTCTCGCAGCTTCTGAACGTCACTTTCTCCTGGCTGGGTGAAGAGCCAGCCCCGCCAGACAAACTGGGTTGGGGTGGCAATGCAGCTCACGCTGTGGTTACTGTTTAACTTCCCTCAAGGACCACGGGAAGGGGCTGGGGCCAGCCTGCGAACCCGAACCTTTCCGCCGCGGTTCCGTAATGGAAAGCGAAAAGATCCAAGCAGCCCTCAAGGTATATATATATATATATATATATATATCTGTTCCTACCACCCAGCGCCTCTGAGCGGTATGAAATGGTTTTGCCTCTGATGGCCAGAAAAGGAGTGGGGGGCTGTGGCTGGCCATGCACCTGGGAGGGGGCTGGGCACATGTGGGCAAGCTGTGTACTCTGCACACCCTTGCTTTGCATGTGGCTATAAACTAGAAACCTACAAATAGGGTTTTTCCACCCTGCTGATCTCTGGCGGGCTGCAGATCCGGAGGTGGCACTTGTGGGGCGGGGGGAGCCCGTGCTAGCCCAAACAGCCAGATTGGGGGCTTTCTGGAAGGAAAGGCCTGGAAACAGGGCTTTGCCATCCAACCTGGGGACCGGGTAATACGGGGGCTGCTTTGCTAAGGAAATTGAGTGTGCTCTCCTGCAGATCTTGATGTTTCTAAAAATTAGTTTTGTTGTCATGCTGTGTTTTTCACTCTACACCGCTCAAGACTCCCTTCGGTGAGCGCTGTATAAATTTACCAAATAAATAAAATAATAAAAAAGTTGGGGGGCGGGAGTGGTAGCCCAGCATCCGATC